AGGTGGGGGGGTGGGGGGGGGGGGGGGAGAGTAGAAACCCCAACCATCCCCACCAGATTAAACTGCCACTTCCCCAGCAGGCTTGGGAGGGGTGCAGGAGAGAGAGAGCAGCACCACATAGGGGCAGCAGAGCCCAAACGCGCCCCAAGGGGGGGGCAGCAGAGCATGAGCGCACCCCAGGTGAGGGGAGGGGTGGCAGAGCTTGAGCTGGGTTCCCTGCAGGCGGCAGTTTTAAAATGCTGAGGTCCGGGAGTGGCTCCTTAGCTGCAGCCACCCCTCCCCCTCCCAGCAGCAGTGGCCACTGTAAAAGCAGCCGCCTGCACACGTGGAGGAGGAGGCGGAGGCTGCGCAGCAGCGGAGGCCCCGTGTGACGGGGAGGCAGCCGCAGGGGGAGCTGTCTAAGGGCTCTGCAGGCAGTGGGGGAGCAGAATTTTTCTGTTTTCTCCACGGCACACCTCTGACTGCATCGGAACACAGTTTAAGAAACGCTGGTGTAATGCATGGCATCGTTATTTAGTACCAGTTACATTAATATACATGTTCTATATCAGGGATAAGGAATGTTTAGTAAGTCAGGGTTTTTTGGGGTGCACTAAAGCTACTTACTGACCATAAAATTATGAATCTTCCTAAAACTGTTGGTGGTCGTATATATTTATTATGCATTAGAAGAGTGTGCATTTTCTCAGATGAATGTTCTGTGGATTTTAATCGTTGTTATAATAGCTTTTCTGTGCAGACACACTAGAATAAATTCTCAGATCCTCTGCAGAGATCCCTTTCATTCTTATTTACTAAAAATGTCGTTGCAAGTCTGTGATTGGAGGACAGGTGAACAAGACAATCATCTACAAGTGAACAGAATGATCTCTTAACAGTACCTTTGAGAGCTGAAATAGGAGAGAACAGAACAGAATTTCTTTCATAAACCCTAAACTGGCTCACTTGAGGTAGAGGTTCTTTGTGGGAAAGAAGTAATCCCGCTGCAAAAACACATATCAGTGCTGCTTGCATTTTGCAAAAAAGACACTATTGTCATTACTGGTTCAAAAAGATGATCTTTGGTCATAGTGTGCAATCATATTTGCACAGAAATACAACACACTGAAATAGCCCAATTCAAGTATATGTCACTCTCTGCATACTCCATGTCCCTGAATTAAAGTGTTTCATCAATGCAAACCACGAAATGCAGTGATTTTGCACAATCCGATTCAGATTGCAGCCCTGGTAACAGAGATGTTTGGAAAATACAAGCCATTCCAAAAAGGTTACATTTGTTTTTTGAATCCACTTCAGTCTGTTTTTCTTGCATTAATACAGGCAGTACAGTGGGTTACGTACAAGATAGGGACTGTAGGTTTGTTCTTAAGTTGAATCTGTATGTAAGTCAGAACTGGTGTCCAGATTCAGCCACTGTTGAAACTGATCAGTTTCAGCAGCGGCTGAATCTGGACGCCAGTTCCGACTTACATACAGATTCAACTTAAGAACAAACCTACAGTCCCTATCTTGTACGTAACCCAGGGACTGCCTGTATAACAAAACTGAAGGTAGTTGCTTAAAAAAAACCCAGAGGTGATAACTGTATCACCTTCGATACTACAAAGTCTAGAAGTGGGGGGGGTTTGAATCACAGTGGATCTTTTCAATAAAGTGTCTCAATAAGTTTTGGGTTCCCAAAACCCTCCCCCCCCCCCCAGTACAG